CCCGCCGCCTTCTTTCACCACCCTGTGTTTTTCCTACAGCATTTTTTTACAGCATTTAATTAGTGCGATGTGATTGTGACACAGAACCCACGGATTGCTTCTTACGCCTGTATTCTTAAAGCTCACTCACACTCAAACTCATTGAGTGGGAGATCTTAATCTTCTCATAACGTTTCAATGGCGGTATTTCCAGCCGAATAGGGGCTTGATTTTCAGTGATTTACCTTATATCTTTCCATCTATTCAGAAAAAACTTTCTCATTGATCAGCATTAACGAAATTTATATGTCACACTCGATGAGTATGAATGTGAGTGAGCTTTTTGAATACAGGCGTTAGTGTGTTCAGGTGTTTGAATATGGGATTAATATTTTTCACATGCTCCTACATGCCTTGCACTGTTAATCCCATAAAATTAACCTGCTGAAATATAGGAGGGCAAACGCAAAGGCTAAAATTTGACCACAGTGGACTAGTGCTCCTATCAACGGTTTGAACTACGTTTTGATATCGTCTTTTCTCTTCTTTGCAGGCTATGTTGTTTTTACATAGTAAAGGGATTCCAACAAACGGCCATGTACACAGTGGAAACATCTTCGTGAAGAAATGCGTTTGTAGGTAAGTATGAATTTATAGCGTCTTTCCACTAGCATTTTGTCCTTGGATCTCACCGTATAGTTTGTCTTCCCCGTATAATACCAAGCAAATGTCGCAAAGAGAAAAAGTGGCAAATTGCTTTGACCCTGTCTGTATAGCCGTCCTTATTGATCTACACACTTTTTCTGGTAAGGCGGCACGCTCAAGATTCTAACGGAGGAAAACTTGATTGATTAACATCTAATTTTCTTAGGATCTCGGGTTATGAACAAGCCATTCTGGGATTCAAGTCACGATTATATCCGAGGTTATCAAGAGCTTTAAAGAAGAATAAATATGCCATTGATTCACTCTGCTTTGGTATGACATTAATGTCTTGTTTGAAAAGATTCGTATCAAAACATCCATCTGTGTTACGAAATTAGGTGTTTCTCCTTGTGCAACAAAAAATGCGTAAAATGTTTGTACTCCTTTTAGAAAACTGAAATCCAACAATCGATTCCAAAATATTCGTATTCTTGACGTGAACGAATGTGAAATTTTGATCAATATTGGAATGACAATATAGACCTTATACATAATGACGTAACAAGCCGTGACACCTGCAGGGAATTCTGGTCTTAGTAGTCACGGCGGGAAATTTTGAAGTTTGAATTTTTCGCTGTGACTATTAAAACCAGAATTCCCTGCAGGCGTCACAGCTTGATACGTTATTATATGCATCAGGTCTATTTCTTTGCATTTTTTACGCGCGCTCGCTCTGCTTGGCCGTTGACCTCTATAATTGATACTATGACACGATTTTCTACGTTTAGGTCATTTGCTGTATGAAATGGCGTATGGTCAAGAATTATTTGATGCAAAACCTGGTAAACTTCACTATGAGTTTTGCTCGAGAAGCGTTGAAGTTGGCGAGGTATGTTTGCATGAGCAATACTGTGTGATATTCCGGCTGGTTGGTTGGGTAGAATATTACCACTGGTTGGTTGAGTAAAATTTTTCGTAGCTCATTACATAAATTATTATTTATTTCAGATTTTAAAGTATATATTTGGAACAGATGACTCATCCTATCCCGATGTTAAAGATGTAAGCGTCTCACGTATAAACAATAGAAAAATTATCAAAACATTATACACTTAATGTGTGCTCCCGAGGAGGACATATTGAGACTCGAGGGAAAACAAAACTCACTATTTCCCGAGGTAGTGTTTTTGTGTTTTGTAGTGAAGTGCTTTGTTATATAGGAACAAAAACATATACGTTACACAACAATTTCATTAAAAAAAAAACACTTTACTTTCTTATGACAAGAAGCGGGCAACAATTTTTCACTTGTTTTCCGGGCGGGAAACATTGCATTTATTTAAAGTCATGTGACTACGAATGAACCGATCACATTCAAAATACACGGCACCTATATAACAATGAGCGCTGAAGCCCTCACGTCAGCTGAGTAACTATTTAAGGTAGATAACCGCTTATACCATTATATTTCTAGATACTACACCACAGATTCTTTCAAGGAGCAGATGGTTTGGATCCAATCGACCCAGATTCGGTAAGATAGCCTACAAAGCCTCGAAGTGGATTTCGCGGGGTGTGAACAAAGTTGTAGGCATCACGTCTTGTGCTATAGCGCCGATCTTTAGTTTAGATGTTTGAACTAGTGTCGATGTAATTTTTATTTTTACAACTATTTTTCGATTTTGTGATATTACAACAAATCTTTTCACCAAAAGATAGATCAAAACGCAATTTACCCATAGTGAAATAAAGAACTGGTTAGAAGTTTTGAAATTATGGGATTCATAAGAACTAAATTTTTCGTTCTTCTTTTAGATCTTTTTCAAACCTCAAGTAACTCGAAATGTTCTCAAACCTTTCAAAAAATATTTCAAGAAAATGCGAAGGTATTACACTTGTGAAAGCATGCATTGATGTTATATATTATAGTGCGAGACTCCTCATTTCCTTTGTGCATTAAGGTCCCTTTATTTTCATGCAGAAAAGGCATGCTTTAAACGTTAGCAATTCAAGCGAAAACCATTTAGCTTTGTGAACCACTGATTATAGAGACAATATGGAATATGAATCGTATATATTTAGGACAAGTGTAAAATTAACATTATTCAACAAACAGCTGAACTATGTTCAAAGTTAGGCAAAAGACCATTGCTGACAATGTGTAAATGTTTTTAAATGCCTGTTTCCTTGCAATTTTATTGTTTCTTCCCGCAATAACTGCATGCATGAACACAATTTGGCTGGCGTTTATGCCATTTGCTTGCATTACGAAATCCACTGAAATTTTTCGCAGGAAATCTGGCAAAGACAGAAGTGAGGTCGGAATGGAGGAAGAGGAATCCCCGGACATTTGGAAGCGGTACGTCCAACTTATTACTGCGTGCGGAATAATCATGCATATCTTTACTCTGTTGAGTTCCGCGTTTTCACGTTCGGTTACTATTTTTCCTTTTCGCTGCTTCTCAAATCTGCTTGACACTGGACATGAGAAAATTTCTTTTTAAATTCCCGATGAAGAGATTCTTTGCTTGCCCGCTATGTATTTAACAATTAGTTGCCGAAGACGACGTGATATATTCAAGATAAGAATCAACATAATTTCATAAGACTTTGTAATTACTTCACTTCACTTCGTTATTTGAAAAACAACAGCAAAAAGCTATCGTCACCGGTCAGTGACTATCAATTCAGAGACAATGAATCCTGACCAATCAAAATGCAAAAAAATCAATAGTCACCACAAAACTTATACTAACAGCTAATAGATAGCAACTAGAGTGGCCAATCCGGTTGCAGCATTAGCAATATAGAATTCGACTGAAATATATTATTAAGTAGTGTGATGTTCTAGAAACCTAATCTTCTAATAAACAACCACCCTGTAAAAATACATGTAATGGTGGCATTTCAGGTCTCGTGAAGAGGATCACAATTTCCTGGTCTCTTACGAAGCTGAAACAGAGACGATCTCTAATCCCATCCTAAGCAAACAAACACATGCATCATCCACGCACGTACCTTCGTCACCTACGTATATTTCATCATCACCCCAACGAACACCGCCCATCGAAACCCGAAGGCCGCACATTCCTGCTGAGAAGCAAGACGACAAAGCACGTAATGAACCACGCGATGAGCCAGCAAGACCTCTATTCGGAGTGGAAGCGCTAATGGACTCTATAAAACAGGCGATTCAACAGCGACATGATGCGTTTGACCATTCAGATGAAATGTCATCTCGTCGCTCGTCTTTTTCTTCCGCATCCCCACCCAATTCACCGATGCCCCTTGATATCCCTCAACCACAATCAAAACAACCTTCAAATACGAGTAAACCATCCCTTCCCAACAAACCCGCTCTTGCAGCTAATACTGATCAAGTACCTCCCCCCCCCGCCTGTCCCGAAAGCACCCCCGCCTGCCCTCAAAGCCGGGCCCAAGCCTGCCCCCAAAACACCCCGTACAAAAACGAAGGAAAGCTCGGATAGATCGCAGTTACTTAAATCTATCGAACAAGGTTTGAAATTGCGTAAGACAGTTTCTAATGACAGGAGTGCGCCGCGTGTGTAACACGTCTCACAAGAGGCAAAATTCTACGTAAAGTAAAAAAACTAAGGTAGAAACAGCATTGGCCTTGCGGATTGAGTATATGAGTGCATTGGTATCGCTTTGATTGTTCTTAGATGAAGTAACTCCCCGTTTTGCGCAAATGTACAGTATGTTTCATTAGCAGAAATATTGGACAACATGGCATGGCCGATGTATGTGAGATAAAATTTTCTCCAAAAATCATTTTAACACTGGCTAACGCCAAAACTTCGCATCAAATCAATATCCTGAATATCTTCGCTGTCATTTTGCAAGATAAATATTAAACTCGTATGGTTTTAAACCGGAGGTTCCAGGGTGATTTCATTTGTGTGAACATTCTTTGTATAAAGGGCCTGTATTTTCTGCAAATGCTACTAACCTTGGTGATATGAAGTCGAAAAACATGTCAAAATCGTTAATAACCGCGTAAGCTCTGCTTGGATAAGTCCATACGTCAATGCTGCTCCATAAACACAAAAATCGCGCCAAGTAAGTTCCCAATGCAAGTTAAGTTATATCGCCATATGTCTCTTTTAAGAAGCCGCTTTGTTTCTTCACTGATTGTGCTTAGATCATGGAGCATTTTATAAGAAATTGAAGAGGAATAGTTAGCTCTCTTTGACCTTCTACTAGACGCCATTTTGCTTCGCCACGAGATTTACCGCTGAAATATGATCGCGGGAGTTAAAAGGCAAATATTTCTGCTAATGATATTTTTAACCAATAATTTGTGTTGTATATAATAAAACAATTTTACAGTTTTCATAAAATTTGGTGTTCCAACATCGACGTCACTCCATGAAATGATTTTTTTTTACAAAAATACATCGTAAATGGATGGTTGTTAAATGGTTAAAAATCTCTGAGATGGTCCCATCCAAAATGCTCTGTAATTTTCTTTTTTATCGATGATATGAATGTCTATACTTGCCATATATTTGCTTGCTAGGCAAATTGTTCTGAGTAAGAAACTCTATATACTTGGAAATTTTAATTACAATAGTCACCAACACTGATAGGATTAGGATTTTTTATAAGCACGAGAACTAAACATCATGGATAAAACTTGTAATTAATCCAAATCCAATTATTTATTATTCATATTGTTTAAGTTGGTTCTCTAAGTGCGCCCGGAAACATCGTTAAAATAGCGTATCTAAGCTTAATATAAGTTCCTTGAGCGGTGATATAATGATCCTGCTTGTTCAAGGTCGTTTCAAAATAATCAACAGACAATCAACAGTCCAATCCCGTATCTGAATGAAAATTGCTGGTAATAATGGTTAATGCTGCATGGCTTTGTCAAGCCAGGGATAGAATTAGGGGGAGGGTGGACTAAAAGGTGCAAGTGTGCAAATTGAAACTCTTAAGAGAATGTGCGATGAAAGATTCCATAAAAGTTAGCCGCTATAAGCTAATAAGTTCTTTGAATTTTGCATGGCGATATATAATTTTGGACGTTTGTGGAAACACTACGTGAGTTATTTAGTGTTGCAGGGCTTTTGGTCCGGGCTTATACGGTTATAATTATGGTGTCTAAGCTGTTTGCAAATTATTTTGTACAATTTGCTGTATGATATTATACTCGTATTCCTTGACGACTCTGATAATTCCATCGAAATCCCGTGCTTTTTTTGCACAACTCACTGCTTCTTCAGAATTCATTCCTCGTGCTTCCTTGTATGCAATAGCTAGTGATGTGTAGATCTTTGCCTTGCATTGATTTGGTTCGTCGTTAATAGCGAGTTTCTCGGCTATGTTCCTAGCAATTTCGAGGTGAACTATTGCTTCTTCTACACGTCTTACACGAATCAAACATTTTCCGTAATTGCTGAGTAGATTAACGTGTTTTCCACTGGCTTCAAGATCCAAATTTTCACGTATTCGTTTAGCATTGGTATACATTTCTATAGCCTTCTCATTAACACGGAGGAGTAAGTAGAAATCACCAAGATTTTTGTAGCACGCTGATGTAAGTTCGTGTTCACCTAAATTGTTTAAGGATAATTGTAAAGCCTCTTTGTAATTTTTTTCTGCTTTTTTGGGCGATTCACTGGATTCCTGTCGGAAATTGCAAAATTCAGACTTTGCGATCTTCTTCCATATATTTCCTAAATGTAAAGCCGAAAATATCTTGTCTGCTTTTTCCACTGTGGTCTCTGTTAACATTTCTCTAATCTCAAATGATCTTTCTAGCTGGTGTCGTGCTTCAGCCAAAAATTTAGGTCTCTCATCAAATGTACAGTTTTCAGCTTTAAACGATAGATATCTACCGTGTTGGTAGAAAAAATGAGCACGAACTGACAGGTTTTCCTCCACGTCTCCAAGTCTTTCAAAATCCTCTTTGATTTTTTCAAACATTTCATTATATACGTCTGGGGTGAAAGTTGACTGACGTCGTTTTTGCGCTGCTATCAAGCAATCAAAATCTATTTTAATAGCGTATTCCTTCCTTTGCTCAGCCAGATCGGCGCACAGTTGTAGGAACTTGTCGACAATATTTTCAGGTATGACGGTTCTTATGAAGATGAAAAAGAGTCGTGCAGATGTGGTGTAAATTTCACTACGAGTAAGGCAGACGATGATGTCGGAATCTCTTTGGTTGCAACAAATTTTAAGGACGTTCTGGATTTGATGTGCTTCCCTTTTGAGAGCTTCTCTGTTCACTTTGTAACCGTCTTTCGAGTAACTCTGCATCGTTAAGTTGTGCCCTAATGCCAAGTAGTGTCCCACCATTAACGCTTGTGCACACTTTTTGTCTTGCTCACCTAAACGACCCATCAAGAAACGTTTAATCAAGGGATGGATGGAGTAATGGCCACAGGCTAGTTTAATCAAGCGTCGACAAACGAAATTCTTTAAAATCTCTTCAATATCCAAGTTCCTTTCATTTATTACTACTTTAGCGGCCATATCATCAAAACCTGCGTCAAAGACTGTTAAACGGGCGAGAATTATTCTCTGCTCATTACCTAGCATTTCGTATGACATTTTGACAGCTCTTGTGACGAACTGGTCACCGTCGGGACTTTGTAAAGCCTCCAATGGGTCATTCTTTAGTTGCCGTAATAAATCATCAGAGTTTTCAAAGTCTTGAACTCTGGTGCCAGCGATGCACATGGCAAGAGGTACTTGACCACATAGTTCGGCTAATTCTTGCAAGAAAATATCATCCATTTCATGACTAGGGCACATTTTTTGTAATAGCGCAATGCAAGACTCGTTGTCCATCTCGCTGACTTGAACTTTCGCAATCGAGTGACCTGGTATTTGGTAAGACATCCTAGAGGTAGTTATCATCTGACAATGCTGATTGGAGTGATTTCGAAGAAAACGAATAAGCTCGTAGAAAAACGCGAGCAGATTGTCTACATTGTCCAAAACAAAAATTACTTTGTTATAGATACTTCTCAACCAAAGGGCTAAAGATGACTTGGGGTCATTTTCTTGGTTGATACCGACATCACAGCATAGTTGTAGGATCATTTCATCTTCAGAGACGGAGGTAGTGAAACGAGAGAAAATGACAAGAATCTTATGATCTTCGTTAAGCTGATGTGCCAATTCGACAGCAATTGCTGTCTTGCCAAATCCAGGCCGGCCATAAAGAGAGACAACGGCCGTTTCTTTATCGTTGAGAAAACTAATAACTTTTTGGATCTCACTTTCGCGCGCTGTGAACGTTGGTGATCTCTCAGGCAAGTGACTCGTTCTCGCTTCTTCACTTTCTGCCATTGATCTTGTTGGCTCGGCTTATGTTGCTAAAGAATGTAATTTTTTATGAATAATCAATGTATCTAAGTAATACAGGTCATCATGCGATGCCTGTAAAAAAAATGCAATAAAACAAGGAAAAAGTTCAAAATAATTCAACGAAAACGGCGCTCTTAATATGAAAAGGTCCCTTTGAGTCAAAATACCGGTTGCAATTGAAAATGGAGATGGCTAATCTTTGCTAGGATCGTAATTTGATCGCTGGCATCGACACGTCTCCCGAAGCAAAAATATACTCCGCTGCTGCCCAAATGACAAAAATAAAAGCATATTGAAAATTTACAAGCTTCGACGGGGCCTTTTCTGAGTGGATAACGGTTGACAACCTTGGTATGTGTTGATTTTAATGTTTTCTCACTCCTCAAAAGCTCAAGACGCAATTTTTATAAATACGATTTGGAAAGTTGACGATGCCCTTGAGGATAGTTTACTTTAACCGGATTTTAACTACAGTTAACGCTAACTACGTTTTTATACAACTGGCTTAACTACGTGATTAAAGTTAACTACGTTTTAATTACAGTTGGGTGGTTAAAAAGTAGTTAAAACGTAGTTAAGAGTTTTATACAAGCGGCCCCAGCTGCATGGAAATGCTAAATTGTGTTCAAGAAGGAAAAGATTAATATTCTTGTATTCTTGTATCTTGCATTGTGACAGTCGATAAGTAATTTAGCTTGTAGGTACACCAAGTAAGTATTTAATACTGCAAAGCTTTTGGTCATTCATTCAATCATGCATTGCACTGATGAATGTCCGGGTTAACCGACCTGGGGCCGGTTGTATCAAGCCCGTTTAGCTTAAACGGTTGCTAAGTTCAAAATAGAAAGCAAGTGTATCGTTTTATTCAACAAGCAAAACTAAACGCTTTTAACCATAATACAAAATACTGTTTACAACTACATATTTAGTGCATAATATTCAAGTTGACTCGTTCAAGAGAGATGAAAGAGTGTTATTTAATTTTGACTTATCCACCGTTTAAGCAAAACGGGCTTGATACAACCAGCCCCAGAAGCTTTGCAGTATTAAATACTTACGTGGTGTACCTACAAGATAAATCACTTAAGGAAAAGATTGTTTGCAAAGACAACTGTAACGAACAACTATAAGGGATTTAAGGCCGTGCATTGCGGTATTTAGACGAGCTGGTTTTTGTTTAAACTATACTTTTATATCAACTGTAAGCATATACGCCACATAACGTAACTATGCTTTTATATAAAGACAATTTTTGAAGCTCCAAAGATGATTTCATCTATTTTGTTTAACATATTTAATGTAAATATTTTTTCTCATAAACTTTATCGAAGAGTACAAGTATATCCAACAGCTATTGTATTTATATTTAGATATAGCTAAATATATACAAAGAAATATATTTACCTTACCTGAATGGGAAATACCGCGATTTGTTGTTTTGAACGGAGTTATATAAATTATATTTTTCCGCATAGGTTTAACTCTCGACTCAAAAATGATTCAATGACGCTTTTAAATAATTAAACCAGTTTTCCAAGTGTGTTTTTATGCGCTAATTTGCATTAGTAACACCTGTACCAGTTTTGCGGGATTAGATGAAATATTATAACTAGGAATTTTGACGTTTGGAAAATATAGCGCGGAATATGAATTCTATATATTTACAATAAATAATTTACCTAATTTGTTTTATTTTATTGTTAAACTTTTCTATTTTATTCGAGCTTACCACTTATTATTTAGAAATCTGTTGAAGAAATATATATGTTAAATTTGTCCCTGATTTATACCACATGTTCATTCAAAGGCCAGCCTTCTTAGCTCCGTCAATACCTTCAGTATGAATTAACAGGTTAATAGAAGCCCCTATCTGTATATAACATTATCCTAAAACTCACTGAACTATTGTTTAAAATATGAAAACGAGATCTTTACGATTGTTGATGGTGTGTTAAGACGGTTTTCCACTAGGCGGAATTTGGCGCCCGGCGCGGAATTTTTCATTAGAGACCTTTAGCTTAACCAATATGACAAACCGCCAACAGCAAACGGCTATCTTCAAATAACATTTAAAATTAAATTTTTGGCACTTTCTCGCCCACAATTTGTCTCAGTAGTTACTCTATACTCTATACGTTTGAGAATAATGGGCCAATTTTCTCGGCCTCCGAAACCTAGCATTTGTTTTGAAAATTCGAAATGAATTTTTCTGTTTGCCGTTAGAGGGTTGTCGTAAACGTGAAGCCAAACGTCTCTAATGTCTCGGCGCCTTCATACAGAACTAAAGCCGGTTCTCCACTACGCGGAATTTTTCGGCGGAACGAAGTTTTCCGGCTGATATTCTTTTGAATTGTGATAATTCTGCCATAGCGGATTCCCTTCACCGGTCATAATTGAAAAGATCGTTCGATCGAAAAATTCCGCCTAGTGGAAAACCGGCTTAGTGTAGCGATACGATATTGGCTGTTTTTTACGTCTTATCCGGGCATGCTTTCGTGAAAACAATCTGAGGTTTCTCCGTTTTCCGCGAACTCACCGCTGGTCGATGTGCCTGGTCGGAACATTCTTGAAGAACCCGAAGAGAGTGTCAAACTTCGGTTCAAATCCCCATCAGACTTTGCTCGGACCCCAATACATGGGTAATCCTCAAAGTCACTATATGCATCGACATAAAAGTCCTCATCGAGGGGCGACGTCAAGTCCCCCGCTGAGAGCTTCCTCTCTGGGGTATCTACTGGACTCACATTTAGGGAAAGATCCTCCCAGATGAACACGTTGTTGTGTTCTTCGTGTTCCGAATACCCGTTCAACAGGTAGAACTCGTTTGCACACGGCGAAGAAGCTGGACTCAAGGATTGCGTACCGTATTTTTTCTGTGACCTTTTCTCCCACGCCCACTGCATAGCCCATATGCTCAGCGGTCGCATGTAGCCTAGGGAACGAAAACGACCGTTCCCAGTATATGCCTCGGGGGTCTGAAAGGACATTCCAAATCTCTCGTAACAGCTTCGGTAAACTCCACATGCTGTCCGAAAGCCTTCCTCTACCAATCCCTAAAACAATTTTTCGAATAAAGACTATTAGCTGGAATTTTAAATATCGTTTAGTTTTACAACCAAATACCCTTTATTTTTCATACTATATTATATCCACACCCCATATTATAGCCTAAACATCTTGTATACTCGTGGATTCGTCCAGTCTGAATCGTCAGTAGTTATACCACTTGCGATATGTAGTTATGAGGAGGAACTCCTTGAGCCTTGTTATATTTTTCAATTAAATACTTTTTGTTACGAGAAGTCAAGACTTTAAAAGGTATAGAGACGTTATTTTGTTTAGGTATAGAAATATAGTGTTGAAGAATAAATATATTGGAAAGTAATCGGAATCACAATCTTAGTTACGAGCTAAAGACCTAGCACTAAGAAGATAAAAGGTCGTAATAACAAGATCGTAAAAATAGACGTACCTCTTGTATCATGGAAGCTGCTACGGCGTATGTAATACCAGTCCATACTTCCTCTGCTTGAACACTGCTGGTGTCGACCTAAATGTGATGAATATGAATGGTTTAATCCCTTGCTCCATTCGAATTCTCTAACTGTAGCTGTTTCCCCAATAGATAGCTACAGTTTCTGTCGTTTTTAAAACCAAGAATTTTTTTTTTATACTTTATTTCTTTATTTTCTATGGGTGATATTAAGATGGACGAATGTTGTGCCCAACTCAATGTCATTAATAAATTTGTCTACTTTTCTACAATGATCTATAATCAACCATCTGCAATTCTCCGAGAAGGTACAAGTTAACATTTTGAGCTCTTCATACTAAATTATATTTTACCCAACAGTTTCCACCAGTAATCTCTCACCTTTCCATCAGGCCTCATACCATTCACGGCTCCCAGTCTACCATTGTGGAATCTCAGCACGTTGTACTCAAATACTGTTGTCAGCGCACTGATCACGTGAGCTTTTGGGAAAACCTGAAGAGTACAACACAATAACTTATTATAACTTATTAAATACAAAATACATATTAGTGACGTGCTGAACATGGAATCAAATTCAATACATAATCAGTTCGTTTTGATTCGTAGAAGGCCCAAGGCATTCACGAATTTAATCACTCACCCTGTCATTCGGATGCTGTCCAATTTCACAGGCCTTGAGATACCATTGTCCTGCCATTTGGTCTGCCATAATACTGTTATGATATCGCCGTTTACTGAACTCGTAGTTATAATAGCGACCTGTGTAATAATAAAAAGAAAAATTCGATTTTTGATTACTACACATTTCTTGTTTTTAATTTTAGCATACCCGCGAGGAACATGGATGAATTTCGTTTTCAACTTATCAGAAAATTGGTTTACATTTGTCAGCCCAATCAGAATGTCTGAATTTTTAATATTTCATGTTAGATGGTAAATAATGTACCTTACCAGAGGTGATCAATATTTATGCATTTTGATTGGGTCCCTGAGAATGTAAACCTACTTGCTGATTGGCTAAAACGAAATTCCTCCTTTAATGCTTTAAAATTGTATTCGGCTAAGGTATCCCTGGTATCTACACACACACCTGGGGCCAGTTGTTCGAAAGGCGTTTACTGCTTAAACGGTGGATAAGGGAAAGTTTAAAAATACTCTCGTACATCTTTTGCATTAATATGCACTTCCATTGAAAATTAAAGTATTTACATCGAAATATTTCAGTTCAGTTGTTCAATAAATACATCAATTTTGTTTTCCATTTTGAACAGTTATCCACCATTTAAGCTAAACGCCTTGCGAAGAACCTGCCCCTGGAAGGTTTAAGAGAGAAGGACGAGTTCTTATATAATTATGGATTTGCAGGGTGTGTCCAACAAGATATATGCTATATGCGATACACCGTAGTATACCCTCCATTACCATTCCATAGTTTACGCTCATAAGCTTTCTTTCCGCGTTGTAGGATGTTGTTATATTTCTTAAT